ACACTAATCGTTAAATAAGAAATAGTAAACCCTAAACCCTAAACCCTAAACCCTATATGAGGAGTTAGGGAGTGTCTCTTCCTTATGCTAACTGGTAGTCAACAACACTCTTGTCTACCCTTATGATTGCCCTGCTGCTGCTCCTGCTACTTATGCTGCTGCTGCTGCTGCTGCTGCTGTTTGCTGTTTGTACAGTGCAACATCCCCGCACAAATCCCTTGCGGATTGTGTGGCGAATGGACACCAGCAGCAGAAGGACTCATGGTAAAGCAGCAGCTGCTGCTGCTTCTGCTGCTGCTGGTGCTGCTGCTGCTGCTGCTGCTGCCGCATGCTGCTGCTGTTGGTGATTGTGTGTTTCTTCCTGCTGGTGGTGTGATTGCTGCTGCTGTCTTGTCTTGGATCTTTTGCTGCTGTTTGCAGCTGCGTTGCTATTGCTGCTACTGCTTCTGCTGCTGCTATATCTCCTCCATCTTCTGCTACTGTTGCTGCTGTTGCTGCTGCTGCTGCAGACATCCAAGTGCAGCCGCTGCAGTGGCTGGCTGTCTCCTTCTGCCTTACGTGGCGTTTTACGTCTTTATTTGTCTTATATAAGACACAACTTTCATATCCATGCAACCAGGTACACCTCTGCTGCTGCTCTTGCTGCTGCTGCTGCTGCTGCTGCTGTTGCTGCTGTTGCTGCTGTTGCTGCTGCTGCTAATTATATGTGGTGTTGTGTATACATATATGTGTACAGGTGTACAGAGTGCAACAATAAATTTGAATACCTTCCTCCTTGTCCCCTTTCCTCGGGTGTCTCCTTAAGGTGTCCCCTTTGTGACGGAGGAAGGATTGTTGATTGTGTGTCTCCTGAGTCCCTCTATCTACAACTACAGCATTTACGTTATCTAGTTACGGATACCAGCAGCAGCAGCAGCAGCAGCAGCAGCAGCAGCAACAGTAACAGCAGCAGCAATAGGAGGTTTAGTAATACCAATAACAGGATGCTTACCAACAGCAGCAGCAGCAGCAGCAGCAGCAGCACCGATGCAATTCGTGTTGCAGTAGATTTATGTCATGCAGAGGTCCCTATACCCTTAAAGCTTGCTACTACCCCTTCAACAGCAGCAACAGCAGCAGCAGCAGCAGCAGCAGCAGCAGCAGGAGGACGAATGCGTAGTCCAATAAATGTTAAGAAAGGATTAGAGATAAAGTTCCCTCTTGTTGTTGCTGCTCTTAATTATTTATTAAGTATAAAAAAGACACAACTTGCTGCTGCTGCAGATATACACAGAAAGGAGCTGCTGCAGGTAAATTATAGTGTATATACACCCCATATGCATGCATGCATCCATGCATGCATGCATCGCGCTGTCTCCATTCTGTCTCCTTTCTCCTCTATCTCCTGTCTCCTTTCTTTATTATATTGATGTTAATGTAGTAAATAAGAGCAGCAGCAAATATACAAAAAAAAAAAGAAAAAAGACAAAAAATCCGCATCCTAAGGGTCATGCTAACTGTCTCCTTTTGTGTCTCCTTTTGTGTCTCCTTTGTGTCTCCTTTTATGTCTCCTTTGTGTCTCCTTTTGTGTCTCCTTTTGTGTCTCCTTTTGTGTCTCCTTTTGTGTCTCCTTTTGTTTGTTTATCTCTTCCTTTTTTGTCTCCTTTTTCTTCTTTTGTGTCTGTTTATTTAATCACCAACAAGCACTGCAGCCAAGAAGGAAAATAACCTGCTGCTGCTGCTGCTGCTGCTGCTGCTGCTGCTGCTGTGTCTCCTTCAGCCTGTCGAGGCGACTATGAACGCGAGCGCATTGAATACATTAGAGTAAGTTAATTTACTGTCTCCTTTTCTTCTGTCTCCTTTTCCTGTGTCTCCTCTCCTTGTGTCTTCTCTTCTTGTGTCTCCTCTTCTTGTGTCTCCTTTTCTTCTGTCTCCTTTTCTTCTCTCTCCTTTTCTTGTCTCTCCGGTGCTGTCTCTAGACTGCATGCAGCCCCATTTAGGTGTCTCCTTTTGTATATTCAGTTTTATTTCCCTTTTATACCTTTATTGTCTCCTTCTATGATGTAATTTGTGTCCTCGCTGCTTCCTGCTGCTGCTGCTGTTGCTGCTGCTGCTGCTCTCTGTCTCCTTTGGTGTGTATATTGATATCTTTCTTGCTGCTGCTGTGTCTCCTTCAGTCTCTCGCGTTTCTTTGCTGTATTAAGGGGGCCCCCTATGTATGATGCCCCCAGCAGCAAGTGGGCCCTATTAGCAGACAGTTATACAGCAGCAAAAGCAGCAGCAGTACAGGGATCTCTCCCTAATGGTGCTGTAGCCTGGGATCGATGGGAGGAGACGATCCCACCAGGGAGGAGACGCATATCTAATGGTCTTAGTAGTCTCCTGTCTCTAAAGGGCAGCACAACAGAGGACAACTTTGTCCCCCATCTTAAGAGAGAAGTATATTAATTGTTGCTCTCCTGCAGCAGCAGCAGCAGCAACAGCAGCAGCACCAGCAGCAACAGCAACAACAGCAGCAGCAGCAACAGCAACAGCAGCAATAACAGCAGCAGCAGGGAGACGCCCTCTTCTCAGGTCTTAAAGGGTCCCCTGGCCGGTTCCAGCAGGTGCTGCAGCAGGTGCTGCAGCAGTTGCTGCAGTTGCTGCTGCAGCAGCAGCAGTAGCAAGCGCTGCGTCACAGGCTGACAGAGGCTTAGGAGGGACAGACACAAGGCAGAGGTCATTAGGGACACATTAATAAGATAAAAGAAGACGATTGTTGCTAAGGAGGCAGGAGACAGCTAAGGAGACAGTTGGGCCCCTGTCTCCTTAGTCTCCTGACGCAGGAGACAATAGTAGCCATAGGGGTGGCGCGTGTGCATGCTGCATGCAGCATGCAGCACGAGGTGTGCAGACACCTCACTATAAATATTAGCTGCCTATACACCCTAACTACTTCCTCCCTAGCCAATGTACCAGCTAGCTAGCTAGCTAACCAGCTGGCTAGCTATAAGGAAGCAGCAGGGCCCCCTGTATTCCCCTACTCAGGAAGTGGCTCTGTCTGGCTCCTTCTATAGTAAATTCCCCCATTCCCCCGCTAGCTAGCTACTCGTGAACTCGCTAGTTAGCTAGTTAGCTAGCAAACTAGCTAACTAGCTAGCCAGTTAGCTATGTGCCTTAGCGGCCTTATACGGAGGCCTTGTTGGCTAGTTGCTGCTTTGGGGGTCTAAGTCTCACGAATATATCTAAACTTTGTCTCTTAAGTTTTAATTTAGATTAAAAAAAGAGAAAAAATAATCCTTTGCTGCTGCAGCAAGCGAGAAGCAGCAAGGAAGAGGGTTGGGGGGGAGGGGGGGAGGGTTTGCTCAGTAGGTAAGGGGTTATTCCCTCCCTTATCCGTTCTATTAAACCCTAAACCCTCAATAATTAATTATATTCCTTTTATTTTCTTTGTTATTTAATAAAAAAACCCTAAAAAGCGGCATTAAAGAAGCAAAAAGGTGCATAACTTACGAAAACAGCATTGCAGTAGGGGGCCCCCCAGGGGGCCCCCAGCTAGACACACACACAGACCGGAGCGGGGTGGGGGGCCCCCCCTCGGGTTGAGAGAAGGAATAGGGCATGATGATTGTTAATTTTGTGGTAAAAGAGAAGAATAATTATAAAAAAGAGTAAAAAGAGAAGGAATAAGGTATAATAAGTGTTGAATAAAGGGGAAAAGTACTGTTTCCTTATAAGGAGAAGTAGCGGTGCCTCGTGTGCTGCTGTCGGCTGCCTCCTGTACATATACAAAGAGAACAAAGATCTTATAATATAAATTCTTTTTTCTTCTGTATTGAGCATCTTTATAAAGATCCCTTTGTCTATACACCACAGGTCCTGCTGCTCTTGTTCCTGCAATTTCTCTTGCTGCTGCTGTTGCTGCCGCTGCTCCTGCAGCACAGCGCACAGACCATCGGACGCAGCTGCTTGCGGGGAGGGTACCCTTGGGGGGCCCCAAGACTTAGGGCCCTTTATTTTTATGGTTCTTTTAATGCAATTTAGTTGATTCCTCATTATAATACAGCAGGGCCCTCTTCTTCGCTAACATGGCAGCAGGGTCAGCGGCGGGGGCCCCTGGAGGGGCCCCCCCCCGTGCCCCTCGCTCCATTCGCTTTAGCGATGAAGTGGGAGCATCATCAGGGGGCCCATGTGGGTCCTCTTCCTTCGGCTCGGGAGGCCCTCCACATGAATCTGGGGGGCCCCGCAGGGGCCCCCAATCCTCCTACACAAAGAGTGGTTCCCTTCCCCGCAGGAGCCGTACAGGTATAATGAATTGGCTGTTTGGTTCACCGTCTCATAAGACAAGCCTCCCCGACCAGGGTACAGAAGAGGGAGGGGCCCCCCTGAATGGGGGCCCCCCTGGTGTTCCCACCTCTATAGGTACCTCTAGAGTTGGTGGATCGCATTTAAATATACCATCTACTACAACGGGTATAGGAATGGTTGGTGGGGCCCCCCGAGGTGGGGGCCTCCTATCTATAAGACGTAGTTTTGGTATACAGAGGGGGGGGGGCCCCCCTGTATTCGAGAGAAAGAGGAGAAGACATAAGACAGTTGTATGGAAGTATAAGAAGACAATTGGATCTTTTGCTTCTTTTGTCTTTATATGTAATCAGATTATTGCCTCAGGTAATTTATACTCCTCTTGCTGGTCCTGCTGCTGCTGCTGCTGCTGGTGTATTTGGTCCTGCTGCTGCTGCAGTATTTGCTGTTGCTGCTGTTGTTGCTGCATTTGTTTTTGCTGCTGCTGCTGTTGTATTTGCTGCTGCTGCTGCTACTTTTGTTTGTGTCTTGTGTTTTATACCGCTAATACATCGATACACGTGTTGCTGCTGCTGCTGCTGCTGCTGCTGCTGCTGTTGCTGCTGCTGTTGCTGGTATGTATAGGTTTGTTATCAATGCCATCATTTGTTCGATCAGCTGGTCCTGCATGCGCATCATTATTTGTTTATTTATTTTGTTTATTATCCTCTATTTGTTCATTATTATTACTAAAAAGTATGTCCTTAATACAAGGGAATAGTAATTTTAATGAGAGATATGAATACTCGGCAATTCTTCGTTATTTCTTGACACTGCAGCAGCAGCAGCAGCAGCAGCAGCAGCAGCAGCATCATCATCATCAGCAGCAGCAGCAGCAGCAACAGCAACAGCTAATGCAACATGGAGAGGGAGACACTCATGGGGACGAAGGGACAGGAGGAGCATATCTTATGCGGGCATATAGTTGTGTCTCCTCTGCCTGTTCTGCTCTTGGCCTCTTTGATTCTATTGGACACCATCAGCAGCAGCAGCAGCAGCAGCAGCAGCAGCAACAGCAGCAGCAGCAACAGCAGCCATCTGCTGCTCACTCATGGTTGAATTCTGAGGATGGAGGAGGTGATGGAGACACACACAACCATCAACAGCAGCAGCAACAGCAGCAGCAACAGCAGCAGAAAAAGAAGAAGACTGGTGTCTCCTTTAATTTGCTGCTGCAGCTACGGTGTATGTGTGGGGTCTTGCTGCAGCGCTGCTGCTGCAGTTGGCCAAGTCGTTACTCAGCATCTAAATTAGTAGCATTTCTTTTATATATTAATGGATTTATATCTGCTGCTGCTGCTGCTCTTCTTATTGCTTATTGTGTTGATGCCCTGCTGCTGCGGGTACTAGGTTGGACTATATTTGTCCCCTTGCTGCCCTATGGAGACACTTCCTTGCTGATTAATCTGCAGCAGCTAGGCAGCAATATAGGAGACACTTTTGCATGCGCTATGTGGCCATTAAGGGAGGCAGTCGTGCTGCTTACCCGTATCTTTTCTGTACAACAATCTAATGCAGCAACAGATGCAGCAGCAGCAGCAGCAGCAGCAGCAGCAGCAGCAGCAGCAGCAGATGACTGGGATATAGAACCCAACTTTAAGCCCTTTGTCTTTATTACTTCTCCTCAGCAGCTGGAGGAGATATTCTCTGGTGTATGTACAGCAGAGTGTCCAGATACCAGCGATGCAGCAGCAGCAGCAGGAGCAGCAGCAGCAGCAAATTGTGTCCCTTGTCTTAATTACGTAGGTGTCTCCTTAGGTTATCTATTAACAGCAGCAGCAGGTCTCCGTCTTGCTGCCTCTGATCTAGAGGACACCATGACTCTCCAATTTGTCTCCTTTTTTGCTGTTGTTGCTGCTGCACTAAATGTATGTGGTGCTGCTGTCTTCCGTATAGCCCGTGCAGGATGGAGCTGGGATCCATCTGCTGCTGCTGCTTCAGCAGCAGCAGCAGCAGCAGCAGCAGCAGGTGGTAGTGGTGGTGCTGCTAATGAGGCCCTCCCTGTTCCCTCTTTCACAGCGCTAACAGGTTCTCCTGGTGCAGCAGCAGCAGCAGCTGCTGCTGCTGCTGCAGCAGCAACCTCAACACCTGCAACATCAGAATCAACAGCAGCAGCAGCAGCATCTGCTGCTGCATCTGCTGCTGCTGGTGGAGGGAAAGGTGGCGTGCTGCTGCCCTTGCTGCACTGGATATTTGGAGGATTTGCTGCTCGTACTGCTATACCTTGTATGATTGATGCCTTTGGATTTTCTTCTTCTCTTCCTTCTTGGGCTAATGAAGTTAAAGATGATGTACCTGTAAGTCTTTTTTTTCTTCTTTTTCTCCTTTTTTTCTTTTTTTTTTCTCTTTTTTTCTTTTTCTTGTTTTTCTTCTTGGGCTAAAGACCTGTAAGTTTTTTTTTTTTTTTTTTTTTTTTTTTTTTTTTTTTTTTTTTTTTTTTTTTTTTTTTTTTTTTTTTTTTTTCTTGTTTTCCTTTTCTTGGGCTAATGAAGTTAAAGATGATGTACCTGTAAGTCTTTTTTTTCTTTTTTTTCTTCTTTTTTTCTTTTTTGTTCTTCTTTTTTCTTGTTTTTCTTGTCTTGTCTTAATGAAGTTAAGGATGATGTACCTGTACGTCTTTTTTTCTTCTTTTTTTTTCCTTTTTTTTCCTTTTTTTCCTTTTTCTTTTTCTTTTCTTTGGCTAATGAAGTTAAGGGTGATGTACTTGTACGTGTCTTTATAAAGACACGCATTTCTTTTTTTTTTTATTTCTTTTCTTCTCTTGTTGATGCCTCTATGTGTCTATCTGTTTCCTTGTCTGTCTCCTCCGTCTCCTTGTGTCTCCTGTTGCGTGCCTTTTTCCCTCTGTCTGTCTCCTTTTTGCGATTGTGTTCGTGCTCGCTGCTGTCTGTCTGTCTCCTGCTGCTGCTGCTGCTGCTGCTGCTGCATGTAAATCCAGAATGTGTGTTTGCTGCTGCAGCACAGTGTATTTGTGTTCTTGAAGTACCTGCTTGCTACCTACTTGCTGTTACATTGTACTGCTGCTTGTGCTGCTTGTGCTGCTGTTGCTGCTGCTGCTTCTGCTGCGTGTGCTGCTGTGTTCAGATATGCCGTACAGTATGGCTAAGTAGTATATTTTCTGCTTCTTTGTTTCTTTTATTTGGTTGTCTCTGCGCGGTCGCCTTTGTAGGAGCAGCAGAGTCATCTAATGCCCTTGCCTCCCTTATGCATAGTGCAGCAGGAGGGGGACTCCCTCCTTATGCTGCTCTCTTTATTTGTTTATTTCATGTTGCTGCTCTCTTGCCTAACATTGTATTAGGACAGATCAGCTCCAGGTAAATATTATACATATAATAATATATATGCATATATATATACACTATATATTAATATATATATTAATATATATATCTATATTTATATATATATTATATCTTTGTATAGATGTATATCTACTTTTATGTTTATCTGTTTATGTATGTACTTCTTTCTCTTTTTATTGTATATGGCAATATGCCTCCCATGCTGCGTCAACGATTTCATGGCTACTGTATATAATTGTTGTATATATATATATTTATATTTATTTATATATTTATTTATATATATATGTTGTATGTGTGTATAGGTACGATTTATTGAATATGGCTATATGCCTAACGAAGAAGTCTGCCTTCCATGCGGCCTCAACGATCCCATGGTTACTGTATATAATAATAATATATATATTTATATTTATTTATATATTTATTTATATATATTTGTTGTATGTGTGTATAGGTACGATTTATTAAATATGGCTATATGCCTAACGAAGAAGTCTGCCTTCCATGCGGCCTCAACGATCCCATGGCTACTGTATTGGCTGTTAGCATTTCAGCCTGTCTTTGGACAATTAGCGTCCTTATCTGCATTGACCACTGGTCTATTCTTGAATTTCTTCTTACCTGCTGTTGTATTTATTTATGCATCTTTTTCTTCGGAGACTAATCATAAAAATACTCATCATCGTATAGATTCTTCAACAGCAGCAGCAGCAATAGGAGGAGGACCTGCTGCTGCTGGATCCCTTATGGCAGCAGGTGGTGGTGGTGGTGGTGGCAGCAGCTTCGTGGATGAGCAACACCACCTTTCTGAGGGGGGACCTCCTAAGGATTTCCCTTCTGGGGGGCCCCTTATGCATCAAGATTCTATGCATATTCGTGAGGGGGGCCCCTTCAGACATGGTGCTGTATCCGGTGCTGTTGCAGGAGCAGGAGGGGCAAGGACTAGGGAGATGCAGCGGCAGCTACACCAATGGTTAGAGGAATTTGCTAAGAGGGCCCCTGATAGTGACGTAGCTCAGCTGCTGCAGCGGGACTCTCTATCCGAAACAGACTTTACAGGAGACACAGCAGCAGCAGGAGGAGCAGCAGCAGGTGCAGCAATAACAGGAGGAGGATCAGGAGAAACAACAGCAGCACTCCTACGTAAGGGAAGTATGTTTGTTAGACCTACTCGTACTATGCATGCAGGCAGTGGTAGCTTTACTCGTGATAGCAGCAGCAAGGATTGGGGGGAGAGACAGGAACGTTATGGTTTATCAAGAGGGGCCTCTTCTCCCCTTCTTAGTGTATACTCTACATCATCAATAACAACAGCAGCAGCAGCAAATGCTGCTGCACATGAATCTGCAGCAGACAATGCAGCAGAACCTGAACACCTGACACCGCAAGCTGTTGCCTCTCTATGGGCACGCAGCGCATGGAACTCAAGAGAAGAGGCAACAACTGCAGCAGACACAGTAGCAGCAGACACAATGGATGATAACCCCGCTGTAGCAGAAGCACGCAATGCAACACAGATTGGTGCTGTAGGAGGCTCCGCCTCTCCTGCCTCAATGTGTGACTCACCCAGTGACAGTGCTGCGGGTGCATCTCACGACAAAAAGCAGCAGCAAGAGCAGCAGGAAGAGCAGCAGCAGCAGCAAAGCCCTCCAGCGGAGGGTGCGACTGTCTTCCAACGCAGCCGCAAGAGGGGTACAGTGGTGGGGAGACCTCAACGAGGTGGTAATGCCAGCAGGCAGCAAGGGGCAGCAGTCGCAAATGCTGCTGCCAGCGTACTGCAGCAGCAGCTGCTGCAAGAGCAGCAGCAGGAGGCGAAAAATGAGTCAGACGCTCCTCTTAGCGACAGCGCAGCTGGGCAGCCTTCGCCCTCCGCTGCAGATGCGGACGCTGCAGCAGCAGCAGCAGCAGCTGCTGCTGCTGCTAAAGACGCATCAGGGGCGCATGCGAAGTCTGAAGAGCAGCGTGACAAGGACAATGTTGGTGCGAGTCAGACAGAGGAAGGTACAGCAGCAGCAGCAGCAGCGGAGATTTGCAATTCGGAGAAAACAGAAGAGGATGGTGTATCTCAAAGAGTGCAAGAAGCAAATACTGCTGCTGCTGATGGAGACACTGTCCCTCCCCAGCAGTCCGAAACAGAGACGCACCCTAGCAGCAGCAGCAGCAGCAGTGACAATAGCAGCGGCAGCCCCTCGGCTGTCTCCGATGTTGCAGTGGCTGCTGCTGCCACTGCTGCTGCAGCTTCGGCTGCTGCTGCAGCATCAGCTGCTGCTGCAGCATCGGCTGCTGCTGCTATAGCAGCAGCAGGAAATCTTCGGCGGAAGGGTCGGCCTAAGGCCCTCAAGCCCTCAGGGGCTCGCCCCCCTGTCTCATTTTCGCTGGGTGACCAGCAGCAGGAAGGAGGCGGTGAGGAGACACCAAAGGACGAGAGAGCTGCTGATGAAGAAGACAGAGCGACAGCGGGGACTTTAGAGACAGCGGCAACTGCAGCAGAGACAGCAGATGCAGCAGCGCTTACAGCAACGTCACCCGGAGCAGAAGGAACAGCAGCGGAAACTGTTGCTCCTTTATCACCTGCTTCATTTTCTAGGACACGAAAGAGAGTAATGACCCGCCGTCCTCCCTTAGCTGCTGCGCAGCCCCTTGAGGCCCTGGGGGCCACCACTGCGGGGGGCTCTGTTGCTGTGGTGAGTCTTTTAAGAAGTCCCTTAGGAGCGAAGACCAGGCAGCAGATATAACCGTTAGATGCACTTGCATGCACCAAATTAGTTAGTAGCTGCTGCTGCTGTGCGATGCCCTCAGGAATCACAGGACAGCCAGGCACAGGACTCTGCCTCCTCTTCTTCTGTTGTTTCTGCTACTAAAACAGCCGGATCCGGCAATGTTGCTGCTGCTACTGAACCGGCGGCAGCAGATGGTGCTGCTGTTCCAACTCCGCCAGCAGCGACACGTGGTGGAGCTGCTGCAGCGCGTCCAGCAGCAGCAGCAGCAAGAGTTGTTGCAGGTGTGAAGGATGTGTGTTCATCTTGGGCCTCCTCAGGCATGCGTCTGGTGGCGCTAAGTGCCCTGAGGTTGCGAGGAGGGGGTGCCCTCCGTGCTCGTAAGAATGAGGCTGCTGGGGGGCCCTCTCAACCTCGCGTGAGGGTCTTCCCAGGACTCAACTCCCCTAAAGCAGAGAGACTAGCAGCATTTGTGCTACTGCTCTTTACCGCCCTCTGCGCCATTATTGCTGTTGCAGGGGACCTGCTAGGTGCGGCCTTCCTTGTGGTGGCCGTGCTGCAGCAGACGTGGGCCCTGGCATGGGCCTCGAGCACACACTTGATTGATTGGCTAGCTGAGCACTTCAGCTAGTAATCCGGCTAGCTGCTTCTCCTGCGTCTGCAGAGAGGATCCCCTCAGAAGCCCCACTGGCTAGCTGGATAGCGCAGGCTACTGCGTCGCTAGCTGGATAGCTAGTCAGCCAGCGCCTTGCGCCAGGCATCCCTGAACCCCAACGAAGAGGGGTCAAACGCATAAGACAATTCCTTTGCTCCACAGCACAATGCATGAACCAGTGAGCTCGCTTAGAAGCTAGCTAGCTGGCTAGCTAGCCAGCTAGCTAGCTTGCTAGCTACCCACGGCAAACGTAGTTCTAATTAGGCATAGAAGGCTATTTGCATCCAGAGCCTTAACAGGTCGACGTCAATGGCATCCTAGCTGGCCAAATAGAGGGGAGAAGGCGCTCCATCTCTCCAAGCTAGCTGCTAACTGAGCTCCTCTGTGGTAAGGGCTAGTTGCATACGTAGCTAGCTGGGGGGGAGCAAAGGCTGAATTCTGCATTCCAGCGACAACCATTCCTTTTAGAAAAGATTTATGTTCTATGAAACAGTTGGGGTATGGGTGAACAAGAAGTAGCTATGCCCCTATATGGCTAGCTGTGCTGGTGGCAGCACTTCGTGGCTAGCTCACGGCAGGAGGCCACCTGCAGCTACCTGAGTGCCGCTGTCTAGGGTGCTCAGTGTAAAGCCTTAAAGGAGGATCGTTGCCTGAGATGGTGTACACTGTAGTGAAGAGAGGTCCCAGGTAGCAGCGAAAGGGGCCCCTCTCTTATTCAGGACTGGGTTTCTCCCCCTTTCCAGCTGTCGTCTTGGGTAGGGGATGCCCATTGGTGGTCTGAAGAAGGGCCCCCCGGGGCCCCTGCGGCCCCGGAGGCGGCGGAGGGGGCCCCCGCTGCGTGGGCCTCGTAGGCGAACCACTGACGGGACCGCATGCGCACAAGCCTCAGGTCGTCATGTGCAACGAGAGTTTGCAGTTCTTCAGGAAGGAGAACGAATTCTTCTTTCCTGTTGTTAATGGCAAGACTGATGGCGCGACCTCGTGGCAGTATCTGCGCGCGGCGTACAACCCCGCGTAGGTGTTGCTCGTTGCCGGAGGGGAGCCCCAAGAGAGCCTTGAAGCGGACACAGATGGGGGTATTGGGTACGAGTTGGGCAATGCTAGCCTGTACCCTTGGGTCTTGTTGGGGTGTATTGGCAGCTGCATTGAGGCAGCCAGCATCTGTATCCTTAAGATTAAGACCAATAGCAGTGATATCTGCAGTGATTTCCTGCTGCAGCGATTTCTCCCGTGCCTGTTCTTCCAACCAGGCTTTAAAGACCTGTTCATATTCTTTCGTACTCACCAGCTCCTTGTACCGCCGCACAATGCTTGCCACTTCGGCCTCAGGGGGTGCTTCGTGCCTGTTCTTTGCATACAGCCACGGGTTAACACCGAAGAGGTAAGCTAGGACTTCAAGTTGACAGGTGCGAGCAGAGGGTAAAGAAAATGCAACATGATTCAAGTCTATACAATCACGAATTGCTGCTAAGCACCCCTTCTTATCTACACGTAACCTCTGCTTCAGCTGACCGCACAACTCCTGCCGCCGATGGTTGCACTTGCAACGACAGATCTTCTCGATGCCTACAGGCGCAGGACAGCATGCTGGTTTGCTGCCTCGTTGAGGCTTGAATCCCACTGCTGCTCCTTGGCTTCCCCCTCCTGCTGTCTCGCTGGGGGGGCCCGAGGGGGCCCCCAGAAGAGGCAAACGACGCTTCAGAGCCTCGCGCTCCGTGAAACGTAACAAACACAAACGACCCTCCTGCAGTAACTGCACCACCTGACCAACAGAGAACTGCAACTGGTGCTGAGGGGGGGACACCAACTTCAAAGGCAAATATTCCCCACATGGCACAGCAAAGTAACGCTCCCCAGCTTCAGCCATCACAAATCGAGATAGGGGGCCCCGAGATGCAGAAGGGCCCCCATCCGCAGACCCTGCAGGCGGAGACGGCAGAGGCGGCAGACCCATATCTGCCAGTTTCATATCCAGCACATCCTGGTGTATGTACACCCGAGTCCCTGGGACAAGATAGTTCAGCTGACGCAAAACCTTCAAATCGGGATTATATGCCAGCAACACCTCCCTGTCCGAGGAGCCCCTGACTCCGTCTGCAGGCGCATCCGCCAGTCGAGACGCTTCCGCCTGCTGCTGCTGTAGTAGTTGTTGCTGCTGCTGGTGCTGCCGCTGCGCTTGCTGCTGTTGTTGCTGCTGATGCTGCATCAGCAACTGCTGCCTGGGATCCCCCGTGTCCCGCATCGCCTCCGCCTCCATAGCCTCCGACTCGAACTCGATCTGGCTGTTGCCTTGGGGGCCCCAAGGCTCCAAAGCGTCTAACGCATGCAGCACCGAATCTATAGCTTCAGGCCCCTTGAGCATCTGCACCTCCTCTACCACTTCTTCTGCTTCTCCTGGGGCCAAGTGTACGTACGGCAGCTCCGCTATGTGAGCAACCAGGGGCCCCAAGGCCGCTCTATACCCCTCCAAGACCCAACTCGGAGGAGCTGCCGCTGGCAGCAGCAAAGAAGGACGCAGACGAGCCAGGTGCAGCTGGTAAGACACCCGGTTGCCGCGGCGTCGCCATTGAGGGCGCAGACGCCCCAAAGCCGTCAGCAACTCGACACACAAGTCTGCCTGCTGCACTGCAGACAGCGGCAGCGGAGGTGACCTGTTTGGCAGCAGCAATTCCCCGCTGCTCCTCCATACATCTGAACAGCAGCAGCAGCAGTAGCACAAGCAGAGCAAGAGGAGCAGCATGCAACACGGTACAACAAAAAGACCCCTGCAGTCGAAGAAATGCCGCAGCGAGCAAGCACACTATCTTCATAGTTCAACAACATATTTCCCTGCTGCTGCTGTGCATGTTTACCTTCGGCAGTCACAAGGGCGCCTTCCCCTGCAGCAGCTCGTTGGCTTTTTGCGGCCTTCTTCGATGCGGGGCCTCCTTGGGGAGCCCCTCCCCTTTTCTTTTTGCGATCGGGTTTACCCAAGCTCTCATCAGCTGCTGCTCTATGCGATGCAGTGATGCTTGACTCCTCCGGACATTCCGGGGAGGCCTTGTCATGGGGCCCCCCTTGGCCCCCCTCCTCTGCTGCCTGGGTTGGCTCCTCGGCCTCGGTAAGCACGGCGCCGCTGGCTGGCTGCTGGAGGCCCCCTCGACGATGGGGTCCCAGCAGACCAGCATGGGGGGGGCCCTGCTGCTGGCCCGAAAGCCATGGCCCCCAAGCAGCGATCTGCTTCCACGGAGGAGCCACCGGCTCCTCACAAGCCAACAGAAAGGCCCTGACTGTCAGCAGCGCATATTGCTGCGAAGCAACAGCAGACAAAAGACTATCGGCTGGGGGCCCCTGAGGGGCCCCCAACTGAGGCCATGAAGACGAACGAGGGGCCCCTCGCAGCACCTGCTGCGAGACAGTTAAACCGTTGGGGCCCCTCAAAAAAGCTGGAGTTGGGGCTCCCATGTAAGGGGCCCCCATGTAAGGGGTGGTCCCCACAGACCCTCCCATAACGCCTTGTGCACCTGGCAGACCCACCCAAGAAGGGCCCGGGGGGCCCCCGCAGCTTGAGTTGGGGGCTTTGAATAGCCCAGGTTCTCCTTGCTGCTGCCTGTCATTCACAATTGGGGGGACCCCCTTCCGCTGAAACGCACCCATGCCGGCCATCCCCACGGGTTCTGGCAGCTGCTGCACCTCTGGCTGCTGTTGCTGCTGCTGTTGTTGCGGCTGCTGCGGCAGAGGCGCTGCAGAAGCAGCAACCCTTAACGGCCCATTCTGCGGAGGGGCGCAGTCCAGTTTGGATGCTGCCCCTGTGGGCGCTGAAGTGGCTGGAGCCCCAGGGACCGCTAGTACGCCGGTGGCCCCCATAGCCCCAGGGGCCCCTATTGTTCCGGGGGGTCCAATAGGTCCAGGGGCCCCTATTGGCCACCGATGTTGAGATCCCTCAGTGTGAAGGCTTTCCGTTTTCCTTTTTGCAGTTTGCTGCTCCTCCGCTGGCCCCGTGAAGGTTGGGTCTTCCGCGCACTGCATGAAGGCCAGGGGCCCCGTGTTTCTTAACTGCAAGGGGCCTCCCCCTTCTGGAGGCAGATGGTAGGTACCATAATTGTGTTGGTGCATCTCATTTGTCACAGGGCGGAAGAATTCCGCATTTGCTGCTGCTGGGTTGAGGGGCCCTTCCTGGCTATAGACAGGGCCCTCAGCCACAGGAGGGGCCCCTTCAAACCCTATGGAAGCGACACTCGCCGGCTGCTGCTGCTGCTGCTGCTGCTGCTGCTGCGTGCGGCTTGGAGGCCCTTGGGACCACCGCCCCTGCCACTTTCCCTCTGCTGCAGCAAATTCCACCCCTGATGGAGGGGCCCCAGGTGGGCCCCCTGGTACACCTTCTCCCCCTATAAGCGCATGCTGCTGGCGGGTGTGCTGCCGCTGCTGCTGCGGGGGCGACAGCTGCTGCTGCTGAGGAGGCGGCAGCTGCGGCTGCTGCTGTGGCTGCTGCTGAGTTGCTGACTCAGGCAAGGGAACCGTCGGTGGTGCAGCAGCAGGCGCTCCTGCTGCTGCACCTCCTGCAGGATTTGTGGAGGTGGGGGGGCCAACCCAAGGGTTCTGACGCACAGGGGGGCCCCACTGATCTGCCTCAGCAGGTACAGCGGCAGGGCCCACAGGCGGAGTGGGCCCTTCGGTGGTGTTTGCTAGGGGCCCCTGCACGAGAGGGGGGCCGAATGGAGTCTCGGGGTCCTTAGGCGTGGAGGCTGTGGGAAAAAAGGATCCTGGTTGTTGTTGTTTTTGTTGCAATGAAGGGTTGGGCCCCCATGCAGCAGCAGCAACATTGCCTCCAGCCGTCGGTACACCCCATTGGATCAGCACTCGCTCACCTGTGTCCATGAAGGGCTGCAACTGTCCCGACACTGCAGGTGCAGTAGCCATGGTCCCCGGGTTCTGGAGAGGAGCTGGGGCACAGCTGCTGGGGGCCCCAGGATGTCCGGTGGCCCCTAAGACTGGAGGGTAAGGGGGAGGACTGCTGCCGGGAGGCCCCTCTGTGTTGCGCGGGGCCTCCGAAAAGGGACTACTTGGGGGCAAAGACATATTTGGAAGCAACCAACGTTGAAGGCCCACCAAGTGGAAGGGGTGGAGTGCGAGCGTCTGGGGGCGGGGGCCCCCAGAACCGCCCGTTCTACTGGGGTTTCCGCAACAAGGGCCTTTCCTTCATGAGTTGGGGGGCACTGTAGGGGCCCTTCGTCTTCTGACCTTTCGCAGTTCAGGCTGCGACGAGATGCTGCTGCCCTCAGGGGCAATGTGGCTGAATGGGGGCCCTGTTGGGGCCCTCTCTTCTGAACCGCAGGGGCCTCTCGCTGTACTGCAATGATGCTGTATCTGGTGGAAGTGCTTCGGGCGTATGCTTTAAAAGGGGATGGCGACAAATACTCTCCTTTTCCGCAGCTGTCTATACACCCCAGGGCATCTGCCCCCGCGGGCAGCGGCCAAGCATTCGGCGATCTTGAGTGGGCCGCTCTTGCCTTCTGCGACTTTGAACTGAGAAATCATAATAAGAGTTCTGATTAACAATTAATGTCACGAAATAAAACCAAGAGAAATCATGCAGCATGGCGTAGTGGCCATGTGGCTGCCCCCCTGGCCGGCTGCCTTCCCTCGGCACTCTGCTTCCCCCTTTCTGTACACATAAAGTTCCGCGATACTTTATGAGAAGTCATTTGTAAATAAAGGAGTTAAGCATATGGAGATGAGTAGACTTGAGGCCATCTACTTTTTCTGCGGCTCCGGCCGGCCCCACTGTTTCCTAATTACTCACATATGCACAGCCCTGAAGGGGAAGGAAAAAATAATTTTAGCATATCATGCCTGCTGCTGTGATGTTGAGATTCCGTCCTCCCCTGTGCCGTCCCAGGAGTCCACTCACTCTAATCTAACCATATGCAGTCAGACTAGACCACTAATTGCATTAGGGAGGACAGCACATTGCTTCGAACCACGAACGATTGATCCTATGCAGAGTGAAGTGTTATATGTAAAGGAAGAAGGCCGCATTGGGGCCCAGGAAGACAAAGGAAGGAGACGAAGTTGGGAGGTTGGCAGAAAGTAGGAAGTAGATAAGTTGTAGGGACGTTTTAGGTGCTAGACTCAGTGATACTGGCTGTTCCTTTTCTGTCTAATGGCTTCGTCGTATGAGTAAGGGTCACGAAAAACGCAGAAGACCGTTTTGCTTGCGCTGCTCAGTGTTCTTATCCCAGCGCATTAGGTGGCGGTATCTCCGCGAGCACATCAACGCAACACGAGACGGCTGCATCTTTTGCGGGTTCTCTAATGTTTCTGCGAATGGGTCGAGTTGATAGCCTGGGTGGGCCTGCCCTATATGGTTTTGCATTAGCTGAAGGCTGGTATAGGGTTTAGAAAACAGCAACATATGAAATCATCGCTGCCCATCCGCTGTCCCTTTTAGAGGAACCGAAGCATTTCTAGTGAAAACTTCCTCCAGAAAATTACCTGTTGTCGAGCTGCCTCCTCTTCTCCCGGCCATTTCCTCTCCTCTCACCTATATCAGGTTCACCGAAAACGGCCAGCGCGTGGATTGGGCATGCACGAAAAAAGCCTCAAAAGCGTGCTTATACTCTATCTGAATCGTAAAGCAAATCTGCAGAAGTTCAGCTCTCCGTGTACCCCTACGCTGTGACTCAGTCTGGGTGTACAGGCAGCAAGCAGCAAGTACTCAATGTCTTATCTGTGTCTGTTGCAGTTGCACGGGAGTTCTCCTTTGCCCTCCCGATAGTCACGCTGCTAAAGGGCCTGTAGAGCAATACTAAACACATTTGTGCTTCTCGTGAACGGCAGACGGCAATTGCTTCCCTTCAGGTATGGAGTAGAGCTGCACAAAGCGCGAAGGGTTTGTCTGTGTGGCGGACAAGAGACTCCAAGGTGGAGCCACTCAGCAGTTGTGGTGCTTGAAGACTCTTGCAAGCAAATGCCTCCGGCACAGAAGACATATTTCCCCCAAAACACACATGTGTGGCATTGGGTGATTTAGCTGACTCGCACTTGTGCAGAAGCGACAACCAGATATAGACCCTGCCGTCCTGCTAGATAAATCTAACAAAACCTATCTACCTGGAGCCCGTAATATTGCTTATTGCAAATCGACAAAAATATGCAAAGCAAACTTCATACAAATACACACCCACAACCACACCCACCCACCACACACACACACACACACACACACACACACACACACACACACACACACACACACACACACACACACACACATATTGGTGTCTATTGTCTGCTGTCTTAGCCAGGAGATGCGTGGCTGAACGCTGCACGAGCGCTCACAGCACATCCCACGGACAGACATATAGACAGAAAGACCCCCACACACAAAGACACACCAATACCCACATGCATACATCCCCCCCCACACACACATGTTCTTGCGCATACAGTTACACACTAATGCATCACGCACATGCAATTATGCATGCGCATTGTGTATATGCATGCTGTAGATGCACAGACACGCAAACACGTCCAAATATGTAGGGGAGGCTGACGAAGAAGAGAGGCACTACCCACCAGCACCTGTCGAGGCGCTGTCTACTGGAATTGAGCGGAGAGGGGAATCGCCATAGGCGGCTGAGGGGTCCAGACCGGAAGATAGGACTACAAGGAGCGCAAGCAGTCATGAGAAGCTGCAACAGGACCAGCAGGACCAGCGGTTGCCGCAGCAGCACACGCACCAGCGTGTGCGTCAGCTACGTTTCCTTTCCACCGGACAGCAGAAAGGAACAGAGCGACGGGCTCGTCGCCTGAGACTCTACCCCGCGGCTGCGCGGGTCAGCAGAGAACTTGTCGTTATGGGGGGGGGG